TGAAGGGGCCTTAATAATTAGAATAAGGTTTGGGGCACTTTTTTTGGTATAGTTATGGCAAGGAACCTTAGGGAATAATGTTGGTAAGTATTTAGGCTTCTATGTTAATCCCTGCACCTCCATGCCCCAACACAACCTTGGAAATGCCTACGGCGACCCCCGAATCCGAAACCCTGAATCCTAAACCCTAAACCCTGAACCCTGAACCCCAAACCCTGGACCCCAAACCCTGAACCCTAAACCCCCAAACCCCAAACCCCAAACCTTGCCAAACCCCGAACCCTAAACCCTGAGCCCTACGATCTTGTACCATGAGAGCTGCCGGGGCACTTGGCAAAAGCGTAGCTGCGTTCTTGGGGTTCGGGTTAACCTCACCCCAAGCCTGCGGAGCGGGGCGTAGGGGTTCTTAACCCCAACCTTGGGGTGGGGTCTTACCCTAAACCCCAAACCCTAACCCCCAAAACCCTAAACCCTAAACGCCCTAAACCCGAAACCCTAAACCCGAAACCCCTAAACTCTAAACCCTTACTAAGGGGGTTGTGTTATGATGGGGGACTGTAGGTTTGGGGCTGCTGATACAGGTTCTATAAAGGCTTACTCTAGGGCTCTAGTTAACCCCAGCCCTAACTCCGGTTCGGGTTTACCCCAACCCCATGTGTTCAACCCGAACTTGAACCGTAGGGTTTAGGGAGTTTAGGGTTTAGGGTTCAGGGTTTAGGGTTTAGGGTTTGGGTTTGGGTCCAAGAGCTACCTGCCAAGATCCACAAGAAGCTGGGAGGTTCATGAGTGGTTTACAATGGGATTAGAAGTTCCCCCCAAAATGGGTTGTGGATAGCTACCCTACTAAAAACTACCCATGACCCATGAACCTCAAAGTGGGGTTAAAGGACGAACTCTTGTAGAACGGCTGTAGAACCGGGTAAGTTGTGCTGGCAGGCGCCTCTCTGTTTCGGCAGGAAGCCGTGCTGTGCTCCATGTTCGGTTCCAGGCTTGGCTTCCTGAGAGAACGTCGGATCCTAAACCCCTACCTTAACCCCAATAACCTGCCTGTTTACAGGACCTTTATACGGAATTCATATGAAGGAACGGATCCTAAACCCGACCTTAATCCCAAATAACCCGCCTTTTTAAAGGACTTTTATACGGAATTCATATGAAGGAACCCTAAAAAAGGTAGGTTCTTCAGGGTCCAGGTAAACCCTAAACCGTGGNNNCAGGGGACTTAGTAAGTAGGTTAGGGTTTAGGGTTCAGGGTTTAGGGTTTAGGGTTTAGGGTTAGGGTTTAGGGTTTAGGGTTTAGGGTTGTAAGCAGAGTCATAAGTACCCCAACTGGAGTTACCCCAACCGCAATTATAACCGACTTACTAAATCCCCTGGGCCTCCAAGTGGGCTTTCAGGGTTACGGTTCCGGGCCTCAGGGGCTCTTTTCTTTGTTCAGGGTTCAGGGTTCAGGGTTTAGGGTTTAGGGTTTAGGGTTTAGGGTTCAGGGTTTAGGGTTTAGGGTTGATGTTGCAGGCTGCTTTCGCAACAGATTGCCCATACTATCTGCACGGATTCCTTGCTATAGATAAGAATATAAGAACACATCCCCAAAAACCTATTCCAATCTAATAAATAACGAATATATCCCGAAATGGTATTCTATGCAAATCATTCGAGCCCCTATATTCTCCAAGGGCTTGGTGGTCTGTTGAGGGTTAGGGGCGCTGGATATAGAGATGACGTTAGGCCTTTGGCGGTTCTGGTGCTTCAAACTCTCTTCTTCAATTACCGGGCGCAAACAAGTTAAACTTTGCGAAGACAAGAACAAACATAAAAGGCCCAACCTTGAAAGTGTGAAATTCCCCCGTCGGATATTATCTATTCGAAAGCCCGAAACCCTGAACCCAAAAGGTGGGGATAGCCTTGAGTGCTTGTTTGAATGCACTATTCCATCATCATGATTGCCAAAAACTCACTTAGGCCACCTACACCCCCAACCCTGCACCCTCAAGTCCTGAAGCCCTACGATGGATATCACACAAGATTATACTATGGTTGTAATAAGGAACCCCCCCAAGTCTAAGGTTCAAGGCCTCTGAAACCACGCTGTTGAACCGGATCTAACAGCCTGAATGCCGAGAGTCCTAGACTTGAGTCCTGGTGCAAAAGTGGCCAGAGAGGGCAAGAGAGGCATGGCCGAGATCTTTGCGGCCATAACTTCTCCTATCACGCGTCGCTGTTCTGTGGGCCGAAAACTCAAATCGTGACAGGAACTTCCCTAAACCCTAAACCCTAAACCGCTTTGAGGCTCCCAAACCCCTAAAACCCTCCAGGTTGTAAGACTTAGGCTATGGCATATAAGGCACACGGAAACATGTATGGGTACGTAGCTGTGTGTGTGTGTGCGTGCAA